AACTTTCAACATACAGACACCTACTTAAGATCGATGTTGTGACCCGAATTTCACTGGAGCATAGATTCAAAACTGACTATATTGAACTTTCAACATACAGACACCTACTTAAGATCGATGTTGTGACCCGAATTTCACTGGAGCATAGATTCAAAACTGACTATATTGAACTTTCAACATACAGACACCTACTTAAGATCCTTAAAACATCAAGTGGAAGGAGTACTCGATATTATTCCCAATGCTGAGAAATCCGTTACGACCGTGACCACAATTCTATGCATAAACACACATCGTGGACAAACCCTTTAAACTACACAACCTCTTTTTTAGTGATGAACTTGACGTTGCATGACTTCTAGAAGTCTTTGGTTTTTGCCCGAATTGCAACATAAAAGATAAGGGCTTTGCACTTACTCTATATCAAATAGGGCCATGGTATAGTCCGCAAGATTTGGACCGTCCGCGCCCTGGCTACCATATAGCTGCGACAGCCGTTGATGTGTATCCGACATACTGCAAACTCATGAACCTTTGTGTACTCTCGATCTCAGCCGATACATATCGCTGCTATGTACCACAATTGTCTATTTACGGTTTGTTTGGTACACACTAAATAAAAGATTTGGGATAAATATGAATCAATATACGTACATACATAAATAGATATAAAAATATAGAAAAGCAAAATGTACTCCACAAATACACATAAAAATATGACAATACTTAAAAATATTTTTTACATAAATGTATCTTTACCTGGTCACAGCATGAATATTTACACCACATTGATCATAAGTTCTCATCCCAGATTTTGAATAAACTAAATACATACTTTCAAGACTGATGTCGCAAAGTGGTAAGTAGTCTTCAGGATTCTCCGATATGTGGATGATTAACAAAAGATCGTTGCACGTCAGTGCGGTTATGGGACATACGGACGCCACATATTTATACCCAAAAAATACCTGAGTGTAGCCATGTCCTCTGAGCAGCCAAACTAATAGGCACTAATACAATATACATACGTACTATCAATCTTACCTGTTAGGTAAGTCTTATATGCATATTTTTAAAATCAGTGCTCAAAGTATAACTATGTAGCTAATAAAATTATATTTATTGTGCTACGTGCGAGCTGTCGAATTTTCAACATATATAAAGCTTACTGATCAGGTCCAATGCTAATCTCGCATACGTCCTGAACCTCATCGTAAAAGTCCTTAGTTTTGCCATCAGCATTGTCTAATCTCTCGCTGCACTCAGCTGTATCCTCGACCCTGGCATCGAAAGCGGCATAACAGGCCTTCTTTTCTTCCTCATTACATACGAAGACCGTGATCTCTTCGCCTTCATCATCACTGAAGAGAGCGGTGACACGGCAGAATTGGTCCGCTGTATTCTGACCCCTAGTCTCGCCGTATCCTTCACATTTATTAATACAACTCTTCTGAGCCTGCGTGTACATGTCGCTTACTGCATCCAGATACGCCTCATACTGACATGCTGGTTTAGTACGTGCAGCTTTGCTCACATCGGCGAAAGCCATATCGATATCGTGACATGTGTCACCAACCTGCCTGCGGGCTTGCGTCCATGCATCTTCACCCAGCGCTTTCCCTTTGTCTGCACACTTAGGATCTAATTTGGGTGTTGGTGTCGGCGAATTGGTCGGCTGATCTGGGCCAATTGATATACTGCATCCGGCCTTCAGCTGCTGATAGTATTCATCATTCTTGCTGTTATAGTAATTACTCTGGCAGTTTTCGAGGGCGTTGCCCTCAAGCTTAAACTCGCAAGCATCTTGTTCTTCTTGGCTACAGATTGTAATCACAAGTGACTCGCCTTCATCATCAGCAAACAAGTCAGCGAGGGAACAAATTTGTTTGCCCAGACGCACACCATCTTCTTTACCGTGTCCTTGACATTCTACAACACAGGAATCAAACTTCTTGATGTACAAAGCTTGAATTTTCGCCACAAACGCTTCATTGATACACTTGGGGGTGGCCGGAGCTACTGCCAAACTCTGAGTCAGAATCTGATCAGCTTTTGCGCAGTCAGATCCAATATTAGACACGGTATTCTCCCAGTGCACTTGCGCTATGGCTTCACCACGACTTTGGCATGTAGTTCCGCCGCATGTCTCTCCGGCCGTGGTAAAATTGAGATAAAGTTGATCCTGAAACCCCATCTGCGGACACGGGGGTTCAGTAGGCCCGCTTTCTGACGTGATCTGCATGACAGCGTCAATCTTATCACAGCCAGCGAACTTGAAAGACGCAACCCATTGTAATTTCGCTTGTTCCATGCCTGCTTTGTAAGTGTCTACATTTGAACAACCTTCAGGAGTCTCTGGACATTCTTCTCGTGCCCCAGTCTTCGAGTGCGAACCCCTCCACTTGACACGGTGGTGCTGATTTTCCTGGTCCTGCTGCCTTTACCTGATCGTACATATCCTGCACCGCTGAACACCTGTTGTTCACGCATGACCATGCTGCATCGAATTGCAGTTGCCCTTGTTCGAATCCTGCGTCGTAGCTTTTTTTTATCGGGTCCATCCACACATTCCAAAGCCATTACAGACGTTGCCAATGCGAATGCGACAGTACACTTATTAAATTGCAACATGGTCTCCCAGATTTATACTCTTTATCTGAACACTGTGATTGATATTTATATATTGATAAGGCTGTTGTGTTAGTTTATTTTTGCTGATTGTTGTCCACCAAGTGTGCGCTATTTGTATAGGTCCCACTGTTGCACATAGAACTTGGGGATGCCTGTTTCGGGTTTCCATCTCGTAATAACGAGTGTTATCTACAATTATTCCTATATAAATATCTGCAATTATTCTATCGATCCACACTCCACACTCCACAGTCCATGGTCCACAGACCACAGTACACACTCCACTCCCTTTATTGCGTATGTAAATACATTCCACCTCTCACCAGAATCCAGAGTCCAAACTCCAAAGTCTCCAGAGTGAAAAGTCCAAACCCTCAGAGCCCAGAGGGCACCGGCAGAGGCTCAGGCACGGAGTCGATTTTTTTTAAACAAAGTAAATACCTATTTTTGTAAAAACTAGAATCTAAAAACTTTAAAAAAATATCAAAAAGGAGCCTGGTCACTGGTCAGTTGTGAGTTGTCAACTTCGGCACCCAGCCCCCAGCCCCAGGTGCCCGCCGCCCCAGGTGCCCGCCTCCCAGGTCCCAGGCCCCGCCGCCCCAGCCCCACCCAGGAGGCCAGGAGTCCACTGTCCAGGACCATCACTTTAGCGTTTGACGTATTTATGTAGCTGTAATTTAGTATTGGGCCAGCGGCCTGCCTGCCTGTCTGCCTGTCTGCCTGTCATCAGCCCGCCTGCCAGGCTAACACAAATCCTGCTCTCTACTCTCTAGAGTAGTAGAGAGAGTAGTGCAGAGTGAAGACTGCAGAGTGCAGACTAATATAGTGGTAAGTGGAGTCAGTGGACCACATCTGGCCAGAGTCCAGTCCACACTCCAGTGACTCTACACTCCACAGTCATACCCTGTCCCAATTCCCAAATCCCAACTCTCAAGTTTTACGTCATACTTTGAGAGTTGATATTAGCTGAATATGTACCAATGTAATTGAATTCTATTTTTGTTATTTACATACGGATCTGTATTTGTGATAAATCGTAAATTAGACAGAGACTGTAATCCAACGGGCAATGTAGTTTTCAGTTAAAAAATATGTAATGGGCTCTTGGTTTCAACTTTTGGCTAGAGTTGAGGCTTGTGCGACTTCAAGACTCGGGTGGGTTGATGACTGTGAGTGGTGGAATGGTCAAGCTGAAGAGTGAAAACAGCAGATACAGCCCCGCTTGCCACAGGTTGGATACCACTGGCCTGTCTATAACCTATATCACAGTGCATACATGTATTCGAATACACAAAGCCACACGTTCTCTAAAAATTACACTTGACACTCTACACACACACACACACACACGCACACACGCACACACACACACACACATGCACACACACATATGCACACAAACACAAACAGACACACACACACACA